TGTTTTCCTGATTATGTATGTTATGTTGAGCATTCTCAACCAACAAATGTGGGAACTCCCACGAAAGACCAAAACAGATCTAAAGAGACACTTAACAACATTGGAAAATAGACTTCAATTTGTTTATATAATTTATAAAGCGTATATTATTGCCCACGTTAAGGGGCCTGTTAATAATTTATTAAATTATTAGCTATTTTAGATTTAATAATAATAATAACTGCTGCTGACTGCTGCTAACTGCTGCTGTTGCGTGCGCCACTAGCAGCAGTTAGCAGCAGTATATGACATGAATATTGAATATTATTAAGCTTACATTGTTTATAGGGCTTTATATTTATAATTAATACAGGGTGGCCCAAAAGTGACTACCCACACGCAACCTTTTAATAACTCACGTAATTCGTCTTCAAATTGCACCAAAATTTCAGAGATTATAGATATGGGTCAAACTTAGATTTCCTGAAAGTTTTGTAAGCCACGCCCAATTACAGTGGGCGTGGCGTGACACTCCCTCTTTTTCACTATTGTCTTCATAAAATGAGAACGCTTTAAGCTAAGAACTCCAAATTTTTTGCACACATTTGGCTTGATAATTTAAAACCTTTCCCAAAGTTTCAAGTTCATTGTTCAAAATTTGGCTGAGTTATGACCATTTCAAAATTCATCGGATACGTGATCCGAGCACTCAGTCAGTGATCTCTGCACTTGGTTAATGGCCTGTTTGGCTCACATGCACCGCTTGATTGGTTGCAGGGCTTGTTAGCCCTGCTAGTCACAGGTTCGTTCCTTACAATCAATAAAAAGGAATGAACTATCCATTGAATCATCGAAAATGGTTCACTATCCTCCCTATACTGCGGAACAACGATTGTTTGTCTACCTGAACAAAGAGAATGGGGAGTTCTGCCCTCAGCTTAAACGACAATTTCAAATGAAATTCGACCGACCATCCCCTTGCCGGAATAGCTGCTTTGATATGCATCACAAGATCAAGTTCACTTTAACTGCAAAAGACGAACTGCGAGGACCGAAGAAAACATCACCATGGTTGTTTGTGACGTGATGGATACACCTAAAATTGGCACCCGAAAACGAGCTCCTGCCTTAGAGTTAGACCTCAGCAGAACATCCCTTCAACGAATCCTAAAGCGAGATCTTTCTAACCGGGCCTGTCGGATCACAAAGAAACACCAACTTTTAGACCGTAATTCCTGATTTTCCTGAAAAGGTCACGATCTGGTGCGCCATCAGTTCTCGTGGAATCCTAGGACCTTACTTTCACGAAGAATTTTGTGTTATCCTGTCTAGCAAAGTCATTATCGGTATCCAATCAATCATGATCAGGTCGTCATCTCCTCAGTATGTTTGGTAAAGCCTAATGAACCTCATTAATACACGCTAACGCCTTACTCTTGATCAGATTGGGTGACGAGATCACTGATTGAGTGCAGAGATCACTGACTGAGTGCAGAGATCACTGACTGAGTGCTCGGATCACGTATCCGATGAATTTTGAAATGGTCATAACTCAGCCAAATTTTGAACAATGAACTTGAAACTTTGGGAAAGGTTTTAAATTATCAAGCCAAATGTGTGCAAAAAATTTGGAGTTCTTAGCTTAAAGCGTTCTCATTTTATGAAGACAATAGTGAAAAAGAGGGAGTGTCACGCCACGCCCACTGTAATTGGGCGTGGCTTACAAAACTTTCAGGAAATCTAAGTTTGACCCATATCTATAATCTCTGAAATTTTGGTGCAATTTGAAGACGAATTACGTGAGTTATTAAAAGGTTGCGTGTGGGTAGTCACTTTTGGGCCACCCTGTATAATGACATCACTGTTCCTACTGCACAAAACTGTACCAAAGTCCTATTGCACTTATTAAAGTGTAAGAGCTCCTCTTGGACATTACATTTTTAATCGATCCATCCCATTATGCATGCTCTGATGAAACAGCTGAAGGATCATATCGACATAAACTTCGTCGTATGGAATGGAAAATGGTCTCGAAAAGTCGAAAAATGTGACTAAAATTGTTGTAGACTAAAAATTTGCGAAATTTGCGACTAAAATTATGGTAACCAAAATTATGGTAACCAAATTTATTGTGAACCAAATTTATTGTGAACCAAATTTATTGGCCCCAAGGTATTCAAAATTTAAAGTTTAAAGTACTGCCACACACCCACACCTCATGGGGAAATCCCCAATGATTATGCAGGCCCTGTACCGCACACAGGCCTGTATAATTATCACCTTACAAGTACATGCCACATTTATTAATTACCAAAGTTATTCTTTGATTGTTTGAAATCATTAAATCGTCCATGCGGCGCAGGCTGCAGGGCCTTGCAAACATAGACGCCAAACCTTGGGCTTGTGATCAAGTTATGGGCTCCTTGAACAGCTGCGCGTCTGCCCAGCTCTAGAGCTCAACCACATTTCAATTAATCAATTGTCTAGATCACTTAAGCTTGCAAAAGCTGTAACATCTTAGCAAAATATAACTTGCAACAGCCTCATACCTTGTCATGAATAATATCGAAACTACCTCTGTGATGACATCTTTCTCTGGGTGCAAAAGGAATATATATAGTATAGTATAGTTTTCTTAGTTTTATAGAAATTTACAAGTTCTATAGAAATCTATATATGGATTATAAACATTTAATTTGTGTTTATACCTATTTTAGAAGAGATTTTAAGGGGGCCGGGGGGGGGGGGTCTTCATCAAAATTCTCTCGAAATCGACTTTATAGTTGTTTCTGATAGAGGGGAGTGATATCTATCAGCTTCTTTTGGTCCCATAGAAAAATATTGTTCCTAGCCAAAATTATCGCCGGTCAAAGGTCAGCGCTTATGTGTAATTGTATTGCGCGAGCAATTTTCAATCGCGCGTTCTGAAAATCGAGTCTAAAAATCTATCTTCTCCTACATTTTTTGAGCAATCACCCTCAAACTTTCAGGATATGTTCTTAGGATCAATTAGAAGAGAATTCTAGAGCCAGAATTTTGAGATAGGCCTTTAAAGATTTTTAATTCGATTTTGAAAATCTTGGACCTCTAAAAATCAAGGTCCAAAATTTTCAAAATCAAATTAAAAATCTTTAAAGGCTTATCTCAAAATTCTGGCTCTAGAGTTCTCTTCTAGCTGATCCTAAGAACATATCCTGAAAGTTTGAGGGTGATTGCTCAAAAAATGTAGGAGAAGATAGATTTTTAGACTCGATTTTCAGAACGCGCGATTGAAAATCGCTCGCGCAATACAAAATTTACACATAAGCGCTGACCTTTGACCGGCGATAATTTTGGCTAGGAACAATATTTTTCTATGGGACCAAAAACAGCTGATAGATATCTCTCCCCTCTATCAGAAACAACTATAAAGCCGATTTCGAGAGAATTTTGATGAAGACCCCCCCCCCCGGCCCCCTTAATAGAATGTTAGAAGTGCAGTGGGTCAGTTTCAGACAAATTAAGCATAAATGACATAATTGCCATGTCTGAAGTGGTTTGTAAATGGGCCATTGTTAGCCCCAAGCGTTCCTCATTCCTGCCACTCAGCATCGCCTACTGTAAAGTAACCACTTGCCATAATAAAAATATTAACAACCAAATATTGTTTTAAAAATAATTATATACAATCACCAAAGAATATTTCCTCAAGTTTACTTCTAGTTAACTAATTCGTGGTTTAAGCTCTTATTTTATTTATGATTGAAGGAATGTAAAATATAACTTATTGTTTCATTGAAAATTTATACGTTTACACAACTATAGAAATAAATTTAATATTTGCTTTGGTTTTCAATACTGCGAAGAAATGATTAAAGGGTGTAAAAATTGACAGCAGGCTGATTTTGAGGTTCAGATAAAAAATCACTGTCCTAATTCGGCAGTAAGGTGCAGCCAAATGTCTTAAATTCAACCAGACCAATGATATGTAATCCAATAATACGCCCACGGCCCTGCGAAATTTCTTGTTTCATTTATTAGGTTCAAAGACTATGATTGAAGTTATAGAATCATTTATCTGCAGATTGTATTGAGATTTATCCAATTCTTTATCCTCAAGGAGTAATTTCTCAGTTGGTTGGCTAAGGTTTTGACCTGATCTGAGGGTTTTAATGATTTCATGATTTTATGATCATCTGCATAACCAATAATGGAGAAACTGTACAATGATCTGATTTTATATACAAAAGATATTGAAAAGTGATGGACATGAAACTGAGCCCTCAGTTATTTTGTGTCGACGGAAATCAGTTTTTCGTCAACAACTCCAAACGTATTGATTCATAACTTGTATAATAAATATGTTTATTGCAGTTAGTTCTGGCACATCAAGAAGTGTCTAATATTTCTCTATCAGAAGTTAGCAAAGTTGGGTATGCACTTGGACAAAATCAGTTTTGAGCCAATAACTATCTGGGAATACATATTGTACTATCTAAGTTGCATAGTAGTGTCCGAATTGCACTGATTCTAGCCCGAGTAGTGTTCGAAAGGGCGCCCTGTTTTGACATACCTCCTGAGCCGGTACTCATTTCCTCTCTGAGCTAGCTAGTGTATATCAGTTTCTTGTTGGTGTTTTGTCTGTGTTTGTTTGTCCGTAGTAGGAATTTACTATAACTTTGGAGACTGGGTGCAGTAATGTCCCAGAGGGTTTGTAACATCATGGATGCTGACTAAGCTTACCTGATCCTCTCCAACTTGTATTAGTACACTACTTCATTCACACCAGTCATTTCACTACATTAAACTGATTGAGGTTATGCCCTTTGTACATGCTGAAGCGATATGCTATGATGAGTGGAATATGAGTTAGGATCAGTTTGGTCCGTTTCATGGCAAAAACATTTATTGATTTTACTATCTACATTGATATATCATACTATGATTATTTTTTATCACTTCATTCGTACATATTATCTATCTTATGGTCTATCAAAATTATTGTTCAAAAATTTGCTTCATGAACATCAATTCTCAGCAATGTTTAGAAGTCAGCACATCATCAGATTGTGCAGTGGTGGAGCAAGGTTTAAAACATGTAGTAGACAATCTTCCTCAGTTGCTGAACTGCATCACCGCAAACTTGTTGAAGTTTCCGGTCCCCAAAGTTCAAATCTTCTGCAGGTAATTTTCAATCTCAATATTTTGATTGCCAAATAATAGTTATCAACAGACTGAACCAAATTTGTACTGAAAGTACCTTTTCTTAAGAAATGTCTATTGTGTGCCAGGTACTTGCAGAACAGCTTTTTAAAATTGCCACGACCCTTCTTGTGTTAATATGTTGTAATTTTTATAATTTAATCTGCAGGGTCTATTTACCAACGACATCAACAATTTATCAGGAAGTCATTCCGCACTGTACACACATCTTCTGAATGTTCGTGGTAGAATAATGTTTGATAACATAATCTATCGACATGAAGATACGTACTTAATTGAGGTGAGTCACAATTATCTCTTATATTAAATATTGATTAGTGCTTTTCAATTTCATTCAATAAATTTTTTGCATTGCTCTATTGCATGTTTGCATAATGTCAGCCCCAATTGTGATTAATTTTGGGAGCCTGATAGATTTGTCTTTAATATAAGCGTACAGGTGCCGATTATATGTAAGACATCACTTAATGTGCTGTATGAATGAATAATCCCATTGCATATAATTCAGGTTGATGCAAGTTTGGTAACTAAATTCTTGAAGTTCTTATCAATGTACAACATCAGAAGCAAAGCCAAGATAGCTATCAGAGATGAACCAGTTTATGTTTCTTTTATACCTGGATCCTCATTACTGTAAGTTAAACTAAAAATTGTCGAGAAATGAGGTTATTGTTAAAATCATAATTGAAAACGTTTTTGGCTTTCCTTGCTTGTTAATAAAATTGTCGAAGGGCATTAATTTAATTAAGGGCATTATGATATCCTTAAATATGTTCGCTTACTTCCATGATTTATTATCGCAATTATCATTAATTGAAATGTCACATATATCTCAGGGATGGTGGTTACATTGATCCTAGACTGCCTCTTCTTGGTTGTCGTCACATTGGTTCCCCACCAGAGGGTGCTTCTACTGTCAGTCTTTGTAAGTTTTATCAACTATATTTATTGATTACCCAATGATCAACTTATTTTAAATTTAAGTCAACATAATACGGAAAGCTGTAATTCGAATATGTCCTACCGGTAGGACATATTCAAAATTTTCATTGCATCAACGTTTTCTCCGGATAAACTGCTTCCAGTACCTTGATGGCGATTTGTGTTACTCTCACCGACCTCACTGATTGGTCACTGGTAAAAATTTCAGTCAAAACCGCAAAATTTCGGTCAATGGGATGGCAGAAAAGCTCCTCTTCAAAAATTTTCCAAAGTCTCTTTTTATATTCTGATGATTTTCCGTTTATCAAAGCTTTCTCTGGTCAAAAGTTTAATCAAAATCGCGAAATTTCGGCAGAAAAGCTTCTTTTCAAAAATGTATATTAAGACATGTGCGGTTATTAAAACACAGTGTCGTTACTGGTGTTGCGGAAATACTTAACATTCGTTTTCTCAAAGGAGATGTGTTCGAGATTGAACTTATCTCCATCGTAATCATCCAACAATTAAATTATAACCATAATCTTTAACACTGACCTAATATCAGATTTTGTAACGAAAACAAGGGTTTTTACCTTTTAGCTATCTAGTACTATTGAATATTGAATAACTAATTAAGTTAATGATGAAAGTTTAGTTGTTTCTGTAAACACACCTCTTTGTACACGGAAGAATTACAAGAAAGTGTAAAAGTAGGGAAACATGCCTTAAAAGGCTTCCCGCTTGTAATGGTTCATCTACTACTTATATAATACGCTGGCAACAATGTTTTATTAATCTTATTCGGCTTACTTGTATTTTCAATAAGTTATCTGAATACAGATAAACTATCAAAATTGTAATAATTTAAGACAGACAATCTAACACTAGATGAGATTACTCATAATGACATGTTCACTTTATAGTATACACTACAGTAGTTGCCCTCACTTTTAAGCCATCGTATGACCCATATATTAGCTCACTACTGCTGCTATATTGTACAATAATAAGCATGATACTTATCACTTAAGCGTCTGTTGCAGTTGATAAGCTGTCATGTTCCTAACATAACATTCAGTTACATTAGATAAGAAGATACTCTAGCAAATGTAACAACGCATTTCTTTTCTTATTTATATAGGATGGGGTGTATTTCACCTGTGGGGTGTTTACCTTTGTCTAAATTATTAGTTCAAGTACACAGTACATTATAATAGTACTACATTAATTTAATTTAATTTTAATGAATAGTAGTAATTAAAAGTTTTGTCATTGGTCACCAATCATAACTATTTATGCATCCATTTCGTGACAGACACCAGATAATTAAAGTCGTCTCCTCTCAGCAGAATACGACCGTCACAGAGTGTCTCTTGGAGTTAGTGAGGGGTCACGTGATATTACCAGTGGTAAAGACTTCCCTTTTGAGCACAACCTCGACTTTCTGAACGGAGTTTCTTTTTCCAAGGGCTGCTACATAGGTAGGTGGACTTTTGTATGTGAATGGTTGCTGGGACTTTATAGCATGAAATTAGGAAACTACAAAATGAATGATCCTTTTCTTGAAGCATGATTATTTTCTAGCTCCTTAGGAGCTCTTTAATCTGTTATTTTACACAGAGGACAACTAATTTAACAATGCATCAAATATTTCTTAATTTCACGTAATCAAGTCACGTGTCTGACTCAAATCACGTGTCTGACTCAAGTCACGTGTCTGACTCAAGTCACGTGTCTGACTCAAGTCACGTGTCTCACTCAAGTCACGTGTCTCACTCAAGTCACGTGTCTGACTCAAGTCACGTGTCTGACTCAAGTCACGTGTCTGACTCAAGTCACGTGTCTGACTCAAGTCACGTGTCTGACTCAAGTCACGTGTCTGACTCAAGTCACGTGTCTGACTCAAGTCACGTGTCTGACTCAAGTCACGTGTCTCACTCAAGTCACGTGTCTGACTCAAGTCACGTGTCTGACTCAGGACAGGAGCTAACAGCGCGTACCCACCATGTTGGAGAAACAAGAAAGAGAGTTGTTCCTGTAAAGATGACTGAGAATGTTGAGGATATAGAACTCCCCGCTAGGATCAGTAAAGGTTAGTCGAACAGTAATATAATTAGATTTCTGTGTTATCTGTAGCTGTGAGCTGCTCAATTTTTACTTTGAGTAGACTGACATTTTTAAGCTTAATTATTCCTATCGGAAAGTTTGTCTTCGTTGTAAATATTGTGCTAGCTCGATTACAAAGCGTTGAAAATATGTTCACAGGATCTCGAGCAGCCGGAAAGCTACTCTCAGTTTATGGAAACATAGGATTAGCCGTACTACGTTTTCCCTATTTAGACCAAGAACTCTCAATAAAGGGCTCAGATGTGAAGTTAGTCGGTAGTAAACCGTCCTGGTGGCCTGAAGAATTAAGGTGATGTTTAGTAATACTGACTGTAATGGTATTGACTACGTTTCTGGTGATTTTGTTTTAAGTTATCATTAACTAATACAGCTGTTCACATTTCGGCTTTCGTATTTACTATTCGTTTAGAGTCATTTGTACTGGATTGTTGATTCTGACTTGCTATGAAGTGCAGACTAATTGAAAGTGGAGCAAATTAGGATGATTATAAGATTATATGATTTTGTAAGATTCATAAGAATAATATGTTCTATTTTTAGCTTTATTTTTCGATATGTTTTGATGCATGTTGCTACATTTACTTTGATCCAGTCCAGGGAGAATGGTGTTGGTGTCTAGCATTGTCTGTTGCCAGCATAATCGTAATGGACATTTTGGCAAGTTGGTATACACGTATTGTGTTTGAGATTGTAACGCGCGGAGACATTTTCCGTCTTTTTGAGCTTTCCATGATTTATTTATTAATTTGTTTACGCGCGCGCATGGCGGCCGCTACATTTAATAAACTTCATTCTGACATGATATTCACCTTTAATTCACAAATAATCGGATTTTCGATGCATCAAACATGGAATTGTTTGTTTTAAAGATTTTACATCGTCTATAATACTAAAAACTAAAACAAGGATATGATACCGATGTTCGTGCGACAACTAGCACCTTTTTTCAAGCTTATGCTTCTCAAGCAATTTTATTGTCAATCTTTCATTAAGTTATCGAATCACTTTTCCCAACTTAGTAAGTTTTATAAAGTTACATTTAACTAAAAACACAATCTAGCTACTAAAACACACTTGAGTAGGATGTATAAGTTGTGTGGATTTCTACAGTTCGTCTCATTCTTAGCGATATGTTACTCGGACTTAGCACCGGTAAAAGTCACTGGTAAGTTGTGTTCTTCTTTATTTCTACTGCACTTTAACGTTAAACATTGTGAATTCAGGCTTGTCTATCAATCTTTAATGTTAGAATGAAGAATCGTTTTCTGAATTATCACAAGATTTTTGTCCCTTGCTCGGTAGTGTAGCCACTGAGCGTGTTATATCTCAGTAACAATTGTCTCAGAGTCTCAGTAACAATTGTCTCAGTAACAATTGTCTCAGTAACAATTGTCTCAGTAACAACTGTCTCAGCAACAATTGTCTCAGTAACAATTGTCTCAGTAACAATTGTCTCAGTAACAACTGTCTCAGCAACAATTGTCTCAGTAACAACTGTCTCAGTAACAATTGTCTCAGTAAAAATTGTCTCAGTAACAATTGTCTCAGTAAAAATTGTCTCAGTAACAATTGTCTCAGTAACAATTGTCTCAGTAACAATTCTCTCAGTAACAATTCTCTCAGATGCTCCAATTGAAGAAGAAGCTCCCCTGCGTTGCTACACGACTACTAAGAATGATAGTTATTCAGTTGAAACGTGTAAAGATGGCGAGCTGTGCTGTGTCGGGATGGTGGCATTTCGTCTGGCTGTAAATCAGACTGTTCCCATCACATTTGGTGGTGAGTAAACTCCACACTATAATATTGTCAACATTTTAATATTTATGGTTTATATTTTAGCAGCAATTACTTGCCTGGTTTAGACTTTAGATGATCAATGATCCAGTACTTATATAAGACGGATTAGAGATATTTGCAATATGTCTCCGAACGTCTTAGAGCCTATCCCCCTACTTCAGGTTGTTTTCACGAAACAGGAACCTGCAGTGAGAACGGATGTCTGCACTCAGCACATCAACCCTCAAATGCCTCCATTTGTCTCTGTAAGGGAGAACTATGTAATCGGAACATTACTTACCAGGTAGAGTGTGCTCACAGTGCTCTCAAAGTGTGTGGTTACTGGTATTGTTACCTGGTTACCTGGTTACCTGGTTACCTGGTTACCTGGTTACCTGGTTACCTGGTTACCTGGTTACCTGGTTACTTTGTTACCTGGTTACCTGGTTACCTGGTTACTTGGTTACCTGGTTACTTGGTTACCTGGTTACTTGGTTACCTGGTTACTTGGTTACTTTGTTACTAGTACTGGTATTTTTACTAGAACAAATGGTCCCTTACAACTTAAAACTTTAAGTTAATAATAAACGGGGTCACTATTGTTCAATGTTCACTGAACATGATATTTTCTCCAATCACATTGCACGGTATGACCATCTGACATAATGAAAATTGAAATGTTTTCAGGCCCCCCCTTTGACGGACCCGCCCCCTCCTGCCCCCACAAGACCACCTCCTCCTCCTCCTTCTAAACCAGTCTGGCCTATAGTCGGGGCCGTGCTGGGTTGTGTACTTCTTTGTGGAGCGTTCGGGTTGGTGGCTTACTACATTCATAGGAGATACATCAAGATACACCATCCTTTCAGAGAATGGGAGGTTAGTTTATGGTGACTTTATACACATCAATTAGGTTTATACACATCAATTAGGTTTATACACATCAAGTAAGTTTATACACATCAAGTAAGTTTATACACATCAATTAGGTTTAAACACATCAATTAGGTTTATACACATCAATTAAGTTTATACACATCAATTAGGTTTTCTAGTTTTTTGGGAGTTCACAAATCTTCTGAAATATCCTATTTGTAAGAACACAATATGTTATCAGTTATAAAACACAATTAACAGTATACATTTCCCTTATCCAGAACGGAGAGGATGGTGAACCGCTGGTCGCAACATTCCCGAACGGGAAACCGTTCGGGCCCCAATACGAGCAGGAGCATGAGATTGAAATAATCCGGGACATCGGACACGGTCGATACGGACAGGTACGGTTTATACTCCACTCATTCAAGTTATTGTACTGTTAAGTTAGTCATGTTATTGAATTATAAATCATGTTATTGAATTTCATCTGATAACATTCACTGTCACCCAGAATGTGTTATTTGGAATTTCGTTTGTAAAATTATTTTTTGTATTTAATTTTTGGTACAGTGTTCCGATTTAACGGGCGTGATCATGTATCTACAAACGTAATAACGCAGGTTCAGCAAGCAAAGGTTGGAGAAAACTTCATAGCTATCAAGAAATTCAGTCCTTACGACCGACATTCCTTTATAAACGAGCTGATGATAATGAGAGAAAAACAGGAGATAAACTTGCTGCACTTACTGGGATACATTGATAATCCTCCAAATAACCAGCTGTGGTTGCTCACCGAGCATATGCCCTTGGGTGAGTTTTTAGAAGTTTTTAGAAATGATTTATGTAAGAATGGGACGATGAATCATGGAATGATGACCGATACACTGCAATTCCAAGTTTTATTTCAAACGAATAACATAAATATTCAATTATTATATCGAGAGAACTGAAACAGTTAATCAAGTAACAGTTGATCAATAACAATTGAAACCCCTAGTCGCTCATTGTTAAAAGCTATTAGTTCATTGTTAAAAGCTATTAGTTCATTGTTAAAAGATATTAGTTCATTGTAATGACACCTAGTAGTTCATTGTTAAAATCTATTAGTTCATTGTTAAAAGCTTTTAGTTCATTGTACTGAAACCTAGTAGTTCATTGTTAAAAGCTATTAGTTCATTGTAATGACACCAGGCAACATGAGTGACTACCTGCGGGCCCACACCCTGACCATCCCCCAATCTCTACACCTTCTCAGTACCTTTATCAGTGGTGTCTGCTTCCTTCACTCAGAACCTCAGGTTACATTCTTTTCAAACGGATATTATTGAGGTTGAGGCGAATCCGTAGTTTGAGGTTACGGATACTTTTTACCTCCGTTATCTTTATCTGTGTAATTTAATTGGGTGGTTCACAGTCAATTTTTTAATAGCAGTAAAACTATTAAAGCAGTTTTAACCATCTCATTTGGTTATTACTTTATTATATAATTAATCGTCAATGCCCCTACAGCAAGTTGCACATCGCGACATAAAGACCCGCAACGTGCTGATGTCAGATCACAGGACAGCTAAACTTGCTGATTTCGGTCTGGCCCTGCTGTTAGACTACGGACCTGGCGGAGCTCTGAACGAGAAGGCAGCCCCACCCACTCAAGTGGGAACTGCTAGATACATGGCCCCAGAGGTAAGTTATCTGTTACCCAGGTAACCAGGTAACCAGGTAACCTGTCAAGTTGCTGAGGGTAAACAGTTGCGAACTTATTGATGGTAGTACATATTAACTAACAATCGAACGTATTGTTACGTCATTCTCCATACTCGATATTTTGGTCCCGCCATCTCCCAATCCCCATGGTCGATGGTCAAAGGTCAATATATTTAAGACCCTTCTCCACGCTCATCCCCGCTTACAACCCAGGTTTTGGAAGGCTCGATGTTTTACCGGGAAGCAGAGGCCCACATGAGAATTGACGTGTACGCTTCCTCCCTGGTGATGTGGGAGGTGATGTGGCGGACCCAGCTTGATCAGAGAGATGTTGTGCCGCCCTACTTCCTACCCTTCGAGAGGCAGATTCCGGGCAATCCTTCTCCTTGTGAGATGCAGGTAGGATCATGTTTTGTGATTATATTCTTTTCAGACTTATCTTTTATGGGGCTTGATTGGCTTATTGTTAAATTTTTATTGGATTATTTCAACCCCCACTCCAGGCACTAGTAGCAGTGGAAAAACAGAGACCAGAACTGCGGGCAGGATGGGCCAACCACTCAGTATTCAACAAACTGGAGATAACCCTGACAGAAAGTTGGGATAACGATGAAAACGCCAGGTTATCCTCTAAAACCATCCAGGCAAGGATAATACCCCTCCTGTCAAACGAGAGTGACTCTGAGGTATCTGTGTGAGGAGGAGGAGGAGTTTTAGAGGCTAGAGACTCGCAGTATACTACTCACCATACTCTCAGATCAGTTGAGGTACAGATCATTGCTCGTCGCTCGATCATGGATATTGTCAGGTACATTTCATCTGCGAAATAATTGGAATGTTTTGAACACGGTCAGTACGTGACTAAAGGTGAGATCTGAAGCGAAATTAAATCAGTTATTATCTTGAAGTTAAATCACTGAGTTAAGGACCGCGGAATGGCGTTATGTTCCGCTCGAGACAACGAAAAACTGCTGGCACCTTATTTTTACATTGGCTTTGTAAATAATTGGGCTTTGACTTTTGAGATCTGTAAGACTCATTTTATACGGTCGTTGTAATTTTCACCGGCTTGACTTTTAATAACTTGAATTTTCCTAATTTTCTACATAGCTCTCAAGTTTCCTTTTAAGCCTTAATAAGGGAATAAGGGAATTTGTATAATTACAATTTATGGAACTTATTGTACAAATTTGTAATACTTCCTGAATTTTTACCCTGTCAATATAAACTAAAAATACGGTTTATGTCAAATCCGACCAAACCTCCCCAGCAAATACAGTAATCTCTTAACAGCCTGCACTGTCATTTAGTTATCCATTCTGTGGTAAGTCGCACAACTAAGTGAAGGTTAACCAATCAAACTGTTAACGGCCATATCTCTAATGTTTACATTAAGATACATTTTCATCCGCCAGCTCTACACAATTTGCAAGAGATTACTGTGTTATGTGATATAATATAAACATGGAAATATATTTATTGTAAAGTTTGCTGATAAATGATAATGATGTTTTAACTTATCATTATTTTAAACCTGAAAGATTATAACATGCACTGATATAAATTTTATTTTATGAGATGCAGTATAAACGACATTTATTAAATTGTTTGAAGAGCACTTCATCATCCCTATTATATTTAACATAATTAACACTAAATACGCATAATTAACACTAAATACGCATAATTAACATAATTAACACTAAATACGCTCTCTTAGTGCCTTAGTTCTCACAAATTTGAGCGACGGTTAATTTGAGCGACCCTCTCGTTCAAATTTTTCGCATTCAAATTAATGGCAAATAAATTATACGATTGGCAGATCAGATTAATGACAAATAAACAAGTCCAAAACTCCCGCACAAAGATACTCAAATGTATTGAGCCCAAAGTTTTGGCCGCAAAGTTTTGGGAACTAAAGTATGGCAAATAATTTATTTGTGTGAAATCCTGAACTAACTTACCATTATTCTAAACCTGGAAGATATAATGCACTGATCTATCAATTTTATTTTATAGTACATGTATTATAATAAACGACCTTAAATTCCTTGAATTTTCTTGAAAAACTATTATTAATTGAGTATTATTGTATGATATACAAATATGTCGTCAGGGATTTGAAACCATAATCAAATTTAACTTAATATTCTCTTCGAAATTGTTTAAATGCAATGTTTGTTACATGTTTGTTTGTTACATGTTTGTTTCAAATATTACCAGTAACCAAGTAACATGTTTCGTTTCAAATCATCGTGTTTCGAATCAAAAACATTTCCACCTACTCAATAATTGTTTGATCGATCAATCAGAAAGGTAATTATTCTTTATCACACTAGCCATGGCATTCTTCTCCGAGGAATCATTGAGGAATGGTTTCGAGAGTTGCAAAAGGAACCTGACCATAATTACCAAGTTTTCTACATTCTTCACTATATTTGGTAAGTGACTGATAACACACCAACAATTGATGAGTTTCCATGACATTGTCAGTTCGACAATATCATGGCACATTTTGTTGTTCAACGTATATGCCGATTGCCGAATAGTGCACCCCTAAGACACAAATATGGGCACCCATAAATCATAATGCTACCTAATTTGGTCACCTGTTTTCGTTCTGATCTGTAACCTCCGCAGTGTTGGTGGGAGTAAGTCTCGGTATGTTGTCAAACAAACACTACCCTCTTCTGGCATCATACGCTCTGTGAGTGAACTTGTTAGAGGGGCCTTCTTTAATCAATTAAGTGATTAAATAAATGAATTTCAGTTGCTTTTTCAGGTGTTACTGTTACTGTTATTACTTGTTTATAAACAAGTAATTACTTGTATGTAATTACTAATTACTGTATTACTTTCAAATAATTTAAAATTCGTATAAATACGAATTTTAAATTATTTGAAAGTAATACAGGATTCATACCACCTAATAGGATTTTACCTACCAGTACCAATAATAGTAAATGATGTTTCTATCAGCAAAGAAATAATTATGACACATTACCCATCAGGTTAGTAGCTATAGGAATGTTGGTAGTAGAGCTGGGATTACCAATAGTAGCCAGAATTGACACTTCACAGCAAGAAAACATGAGCTGGTGGAAGGAGAGATGTGGTGCGCTTAACGAACTTCTCACCCCTCTCAAGAAGTGGTAGGTAAATAGGTAACTAAGGTAGCTAGGTAGATAGGTATTAGGTAACTAGGTAGATAGGTAACTAGGTAACTAGGTAACTAGGTAACTTAGTAACTAGGTAACTAGGTAACTAGGTAACTAGGTATATATGTAACTAGGTAACTAAGGTAACTAGGTAACTAGGTAACTAGGTAACTAAGGTAACTAGGTAAATAGGTAAATAGGTAAATATGTAAATAGGTAACTTAGTAACTAAGTAACTAAGGTAACTAAGTAACTAGGTAACTAGGTAGATAGGTAGCTTGAAATACAAATTTTCCTGAGAAAGAGGCTGAGGATATTAGATTTAGTATTGTTACCCTCACAACTCTCTCCTCAGTGTGATATACGCTGTAGTGGGCCTCCCTCTCTTTATCCACATGTCAGTAGCAATGATGGGTGCCATCCTCCTCCTCATTACCGCTCTCTTCTTAGCCGGACAGGTGAAGGTAGCTCGTATGATTATCTTGCTCTTTCTTCAATCATTGTGCGTGTGAAAATGTGTGAAAATGTGTTAAAATGTGTTAATATGCGTTAAATGTGTTTAAAATGTGTTAAATGTGTTAAAATGTGTCAATATGTGTTGAAATGTGTAAAAATGGGGGGGGGGGGGGGGGGGGGGGGGGGGGGGGGGGGGCCAACCATATTAAAGTATATTAAAGTATATCCCCGGGTCAAAATCGGAAAAAATCCTACATTTTAATATACTTTAATATACCTACAATTAGAAGATTTATATTCTTCGTTAAGATTTACATGATGAACTATATTTTTCACTCAGATTCGCAAGATAAGCCTGTTTTAGGACTAGTACATGAATTTCCATCCAGATTGGTCAAAAATTGGCTGACCTATGAGCTTTAAAAAATATGCCCATATTTGGGCATACGCTTTTGCCCAAATTCGCTTTTGCCCAAATTCGATAAAATTTCAATATTTTGTTAATGAGACTAACTCTATGTGAAAGATATAACTCAGTGTTTGTTGAATATAGTGGATACTAAGTAAAAAGACCTCCATGAACAAAATTGGGAAAATTGCACATAATATCTCTGTTCGGAATACTAGCCAAAATGACTTCATTAAAATTGAAATAATTCCATCAGTTTTCAATATTTTTTCAAGAACTTTTTGGAATCGATTAAGAATTGCATTTCAAGCTTATTTTGGGTAACAATTTTCGATGTAGGCCTCCAAGGATAGGGATATATTAAAGTATATTGTAGGTATATTAAAGTATATTAAAATATATCCCCGGGTCAAAATCGGGAAAAATCCTACATTTTAATATACTTTAATATGGTTGGCCCCCCCCCCCAAAAATGTGTAAAAATGTGTAAAAATGTGTAAAATGTGCCAAAATGTGTCAGAAACATGCCAAAATGTGTCGAAATGTGTCAAAATGTATGGCACTGTGACCTGGAAATTGATATGGCTGACAGCTTTCTTCTTGCTGATTTATTGCGCTCTGTTTGTTTCCTGATTACTTAATGATTTTATGTGATTTCGAAATCATTGTGAGATTTGAAAAGAAGCAGTTTTAATAATAGAAACGTTATGCCCATTTCCCAGTAACACAGAATAATAACGACCCCCCCTGTTTACAGTACGACGACTCTACAGTAACAGGAGACTACTCAAACTTAATGCAAGATGACGATGTTGGTCCTATCAGTGGTATCAATTCAGGGGATATTGTTATACCCGTACCCGGCTCAGGTTCCGCCTCTGCTAATATCGATATGGTTAGTACGAAGTCAATGACTTGTCGCAAATTCTATTTCGTATCGTCCCTAGAGTACTGACCCTGGGGCCTGGAGTTACCGGCTTATTAAATTGGAAAAATCGGCTTGATAAAATGAAGTTAATCCGGCTGCTTGGAGTCGTGCCAGTATAGGTCTAGAAGTAGATGAGATAAAGATGTTCTATAATCTTGAAACCGTTTACAGTAAACCTACTTCCAGGTACCGGATATCTCGGAGGGAAATACCATGTCGAAGTCTGAGACAGGGTGGGATATGATGAAAGATGATGTGAATGATGACAACCTTCTCCTCGGCTAAGCGTTCTCACGGACCATCAACACGTGTCAACTGGGTACACGTGCAACTGCGCGCCAGACACGTGTCAACTGGGCACCAAACAGGTGTAACTGCGCACCAAACACGTGCAATCTACTACCTGTCAGGCATTATATTATTAGCGACATTGCTTCATTCGTGAATCGTGATCTGCTATAACGAGACGATATCTTATTATTGTTGTCGAACTGCTCACTATCTTAAACATATATTTTTATGGCTGATCGTATTATATCGTTTGGTAACCGTTTTGACATTGACAATATATTATATAATATGTTCCAGAGTATTTGAGGTTGGGCTGCATTGGACATCATCAGTATTCTCTAATGATGAGGGTGTATTTTTCTAACAGTTTTTCTTAATTCATATTATCTTTTTATCAACCAAGGGGGGAAATTTATCAAAATTCGTGGGTCGAATTAAATGGATTTAACTGAGAATAGGGGAGCTCAGATCATTAAAAATATCAAAGATATTATTTAAAAAAGTATAATAATAGCAGTATCTCATGGGGAGCTAATTACTTGGGGACCAGCGAAGAGAACTTTGGCTCCACACTGTAGTTTCGGGGCCGCAGCATTCAGTAACACGACAAATAGTGCATTGCCATAATTTTAACTGTTACAAAATGTTAAGAAAAAATTATGTTACTGTATTTTTAAAGCGTAGGTTGTTTTTTGTTTGTTTTATAAGCACGCAGTTCCATTATATAATAGATGCATGTTAATGCACGTGTGTATACTTAATAATACGATAGATGCAACTTAGTGCAACTTAGTTAGGTTAGACAACTGTTAACATCAAGGATTCAGATCTAAAGCTTTCGCTTTATTTTCTGGAAGATACGGTTTTTTATATTAAAAAGAACTTTGTACGATTTAGAATTTTAATGGTTTCATTGTTACAAACCTGTAATGTGAACATAATTGACGACGTTAAGGGACCGCGATTGTTTAAATTTAGATTTACTTTGTTTGTGGACTATGTTTAATAATGATCGTGTATCATAATCAACGAGTAATATTTAACCAACAACCCAGAGTTTTCATCGCTTACATATCCGAAATTTTAATATGAAATCCAGTATAATATCTAAATGTAATGAGTCTCTTATCATATTCTGTCCACAATCTAAACCAAGAATTACATTTTTTTGGTGAAGTCAACGTTTATTGTTTATCATCTAGATTAGATGAGATCAGACTGAAACAGTATTTTACAGCAGAAAGCAAGTCCTATCGAGCTATGAATACAATGAAGTATGTAAACTTGTCACCAATGGACGTGTTCTTTACGCAAGACGCTATATCGTTCAGGTTGGCTAAACATTTACACACTTACTGTGGCTGTGAATATTTTGACTAACCTTGGCCGTTGAATTAAACAGTAAAATTCTGAGATTTGGTACATACGAGTTGAGAGTTGAACATCAATAAATTTAGTTCAGGTTTAAGAATGGTCGGTGGATTGAATCACTGGTAGTAGATCTAGCATCAGGTTTACAGTGTATTGAACACATTCCTCCTATCAAAGTAAGTAATAGTATCCAGTGTATCGACCACATACCTCCTTTCAAAGTAAGTATTCAGTTGTACTTTTTAATAGAAAATTCATTTGTTTTAATATTCAATATTGTGATCCAATACTTCAGCCAGAAAATTCAGGACAAACATGATCAGGATATCTTTCACGTGACCTCTGATCATTGATCACGTGACCTCTGATCATTGATCACGTGACCATTGATCATGTGACCTCTGATCACTGATCACGTGACCTCTGATCACTGATCACGTGACCTCTGATCACTGATCACGTGACCTCTGAAGCTCTGATCACTGATCACGTGACCTCTGATCACTGATCACGTGACCTCTGATCACTGATCACGTGACCCCTGCAGGTTTACTATCACAACCAGTCCGGGGTCTGGAAGTCACTGGACAACAGACGACTCTACGTCTTCAGGAGGTTGTGTCAGATGGGATACTTTGATCAGATCAGATGTCAGGACTTAACTTTCTGGAAGGTTTGTCATCAATTTACACCTTGACGATTTGTGTCACTACACCTTAATATTAAAGGTCTAGTTCGAATATCAGACTTTAATTATTTAACTTTAATCTGCAATACTAGAATTCTAAGTTAGAATTTGCATCGTCAGGACTCGGATAGAGCAGCTGAGAGAGAAGTAGCACGAGGTTTGATAAGTCATGTCAAGGTACGTTACTGATCACCACGGTTACCATCAGCATGGTTACTAATCACCACCACTGCTGTTCTGCATTGCAGCTCTATTCTGCTGCCTGATCCTTTCATCTGATCAAATGTTGCTGTTGTTTTTATTCATATCGTGCATGTTTCAATTAATAGCATCAAAAGCCTTGAAAGTGACTGTGTTATGGTTATCACTTATCCCTGTGAACTTTGTAAAATTTGTTCTGATTCTCAGTGCACAAAATTCTCACTGTACTTTATCTGATTTTGTCCTGCTTTTAGATTTCTCTCTGACCAAGTGACCATTTCAGCTTTGACAATTGCTGCATGCCGGATTTTATCTGTTGTATTGTATTCCCGGATGCTTATCTTATCTTCTTTGTTGTTGTATGTATGTATGTATGTGACTAATCACTAATGGTTACTAACCGTTGGTTTGTGATAATCCATTCTTATTTCTTATAAGCAATCATTATTAATTTATTATATGAACATTTTTATTTAATCACTTTAATAATTTTATCATATTTTTAACCATATACTATTTATTTCATACAAATGAATTCTTGGGAATTGTAGCCTCGGTAATCAAGGTTATTTCATTCTTAATTGAATCTTATGGGGGGAAAGATAATTAATTCATAATTTTATGATGTCGATTGTCGATAATTGATTTTGTAAACCATCAAATTAAATTATTAACATGATAAGTTTTATTTACAATTATTTTACAGTTCTTAAATCACTGTGTCACTGATTAATGATTATACTGCGTACAAAAAAGCACCGCTGCTGTCCTGTCTGCATTACCTATAATTATTTCAATCTAATAAGTTTAGCACTTTTCTCTCATATTTAAAGATCAATGTTTAAATTTGCCGACTATAAATTTGTTGTTAAGGTTGTAAAATGGGTAAGATAAAGAAGAAGTCAGATAGCGGTAAGAAAATAGTATACTTGAGTCCGGGTAATATCCGGTATACCAACGAGACTTTCTCTGCAAGGTACGGACACTTTCCTTGGACTAGTTCCCTGTTTCATTGGAAACACGTGGAACTGATTTGAACATATTTAAATTTTACCAAACGGTTAAGTTATATTATATTGATATCATATTGATATTCAACTGTTTGTTAAATCTTTATTTAAAGGTCTGTATCCCCAGATTTAGAGATGGAAGAACAGTGGAATCCAGTATTAGCGAAGTTATCAACGGTGATACTGAACTTGAGGATATTCCTCTTATCGAGGCAAGTTTCCTGTTTTTTAAATAGTTCTTTCATTCATCTGATTGTTTATGAATAGACTCAGTGAAGACATATTCTAATGGAAATAAATAGCTGAATAACGTATCGACATTTCTATGTCATACTCATATTCTGAAATATTAGTATTAATTCAATTATAACGATCAATATTTAAGCCGTAGTACATACATATTACATTACACTGGATGGAGCTTACACAGTGTAATTTCTTCCAGTCTGCGCCGCGCGCCTATATAAACGTACGCGGCGCAGACTGGAGGAAATTACACTGTGTACTGTGTAGGCTCCAGTGTAATGTAATATGTATGTACTACGGCTTAACATTAAAAATTTGACGACGAAATTTATTTCAAACAAAATATTATTATTATCTAACTTTTAAAACAATCTCGAAATAGTAAAGAAACATCTTAAGAGACTGATAAGTGCCCAAAAAAACATAACAGTTCTCTGAAAAAAATAAAGGTTTAAAATTATGAGGTAAATAATTTTCTCCACAAAACTCTGTTAGAGGCAGTAGCCCTAAGATCATAAAGATCATAAATATCACGTAATGGTAGGTTTCTTTTATTCAAATCATTTATAATAAACTTTAAAAGATTACTTTGGTGTCGACCAACACGTCCTTTCATGGTAAATAACGCATTAACAGCAAATTGAAGAGCTCTCTGAGCTGGTGATGAGCAGTCACTGCGAAGGACATGTCCAAGCATTTTCCAGCGAGCATATGCCACTCGCTCTGACAACGGTGTTACACCACAGCGTTCATAGAGTGCTTTATTACTGATAATAATGGGATAAGTCATCTTCAATATTTGACGCAGGTGTCTTCTATGACATGCATCAAGTTTGTCAAATAGGTTCTGAGGGGTAGCCCAGCTATTGCAGTTATAGAGCATAACAGATGTAACGTATGCTTCGTATATCTTAATCTTGGTCTTCAGATTAATCTTAGATCCTTGCATCCAAACTTTCTTGTATTTTTCGAATGCAACATTTCCAAGGATTATACGATGCTGTATGTCTTCTTTACTACATAGCTTAGAGCCTAGGGACACACACTTCCTCCAAGGTTCTCTATTTCTTAGAGGTTCTCCTTTTTCGTCCTTCTCACTACTAGTACTTCCAGCCAGATAACACTTTACAAACTCGGTTTTAGATTCATTTACAAGCAAATTCCATCCTGAGAGAATTTCCTTGCAAATTGGAAGGAGCTGGTGTAACGAATCCTCATCTTCATCAGCAAAGTCCACATCATCAGCATATTCCCATTCTAAGAATCTAAAGGAAGGGAGCTTTCAGATATGGGGGGATTTGGGCGTAGATGTATAACAACAACTCTAAGGTGGTAGAGTGCTCCAGCTAGGTACATGGTAAACAGCGAGCCAGACAAATAGTCGCCTTGAAAGGCTCCTATTGTGACTTCGAACTCTCCCAATGTCGTCTTTTTGATCTTAATTCTGAGCTTGGTGTTAGCGAGCAGATATCTAACTAGTCTTATGTCATCTTCTGAGCATCCTGCATCTTCGAGTAGCCTGAGGATAGTTGACCGATGTATTGTGTCGAAGGCTGATGACATGTCTATCCCCATTTTACTAAACTCCCAATGTTTCTCCTTGACAACAGAAATAAGAACCCTTTGTGTCCAGACAATATTAGAGCAGCTGTGTCCTGATTTATAGGCATTCTGCCATGGCCCAGTGTAGTCTGCTATCTGTTGTTGAATACGCTGGAGTGTTATCATGGAAAGGATTTTCCTAGTTCCATTGAGGAGGCACAAGGGACGTAGACTCTTAACTGGTCCTTTTGGTTTTCCAGGCTTCTGTAGGGGGGGTAAGATATCCCTCAGTGAACGATTGAACGTGCTCTTGTTTTTCAAAGGACTCATTGATAAGTGATGCAAACTTCATGTAGAAAGAAGGAGGTGCATACTTAAGGAATTCGTTAGGGAGGTTGTCAGGACCAACGGCTTTACCGTTCTTTAGTTTCTTGGCTGCTGTCTCAACTTCAAGTGCAGTTATAGGCGTATCTAATGGCTTAGCAGCTCCAACAAAAGGTTCTAGTGGGGGTTCTGGGCCTGTGTAATGTTCCATGAACCAGTTCTTGACTATGTCTGCCTTATCTTCATCATTGAGAGCAAGTTCTTCTGTTTCTGGTAGGAATACTGAAATAGGAGGAGTGTCTTTTGTGCTTGAAATTGCTCTGGTTGCTTCGAACATTCTTCTGGTATCATCAGTGGAGTTGATCGTCTCAGCTAGAAGGTCGGCATGAGCGGTTTCAAGTGTAATAAGGCGCTTTGCAATGTCATTCTTGAGTCTGTTGATTTCCTTACGCAGGATAGTTCTGTCACGCATTTTGTTGTCGTTTAAATGTTGTAGTAATTGGTGTCTCTTTTCTGACATAGAGACAACTTGTGGGTCTGATGTTCTGTGACGTTTGGCTGTGTTTCTTTTCATACCCACTGTTTCAGATGCAGCAATTTTAACCGCCTCGAAAAGGTTGTTAAAACTTTCAGTGACTGACTGGGCAGATGTATCAGTTTCAATCTTCTGAGCAGCATTTTGTTGAAAAGAACTTTGAACATCTTTGCTACAAACCAATGAGTTGGTGTTATACTGCTTGACTGTGTGTTTGGCAGTACTGTAAAGTTTGTAACGTTTACTGAGGTCAAAAGTTGCTTTTACAATTTTGTGATCAGATTGAAGTTTTGCACCAGCGTAAGACCTAGCGTCAACAAGCAGAGGAGTACTTCTAGATCTACATAAAACATAATCAATTTGAGAAAACCAGGGTACAGACTTTTTGGATCTACGGTCTTTAATCCATCCTGTAAAAGTGTTGGTGTGTCTGCTCGCATGTGAAAATGCAGTGTTGGCTGCATAGAGTCCATTAGTGATCATGAAAGCTAGCAACCTTTCGCCATTTTCGTTACGCCGACCAATACCATGTCTTCCCATATTAGTTTGAAGACCACTTTCAAAATCTGATTTAGTCCGTTTCCCTAGCCTAGCATTAAAATCACCCATGATGAAAAGTTCATGTCTGGCAGGAATTCTGATAGCTTCCTGGAGCTCACAGTAAAACTCATCAGCAAACAAAATATATAACTGTAAAATAGTTATCCACTGTAAAATAGTTTTTAACGAAATCGAAGCAAATATGAACAATAAATTTATCAAATAGGGCTCATTTGAAAATTAACGAATAGCGTGACGTGTATAGGAGATAAAAGATTAAAAGAGATAAAGGAAATTAATGGACAGCAGAGGAGTGAAATGTAAACGAAAATATTACTATTTACACGTCAATCAACTAAAAACTGTGTTAGATTGTTCAACTTTGTTTTGTCGTTGAGTGTTGGTTTCTTTTCAAATAAAAATCGGGCTTCTTTAATCTTTCTGTTGATGATTGATGTTCCTCTATCTTCGATTTGAAGTTTTAGCTTTGGGGGGCCTGTGTGCTGAGGATGACTTTCCCTGTAGTGCTTTCCTAGTGGCTTATCTTCGTAAGATTTTGCTGTTGGGTTTGCCGCACTACAGTAATGTTCGTCGAACCTGTGCTTGAGTGGTCTGTATGTCTCCCCACCATAGTGCTCGGTGCAATTGTCTACTTCGCAAGTGATGTGGTAGACGGTGTTAGTTGTTGCGCATTCTCCATCGGCTAAAGCTGCGCAGTTTGATGTTGTGCAGGATTTCTTGTCAAGGGGTCTGGAGTCTGTAAGGAGATCCTTTAGTTTCCGTCCAGGTTTCTCTACAATTTCGATGGAGAGTCCACTATGGCACTATGCCTTCACAGCATCTCTGTATTTGCGACTAGTAAATTCTTTGACATATGATAGTTTGAGAATCGCTCCGTCTTGGTCTTTGTTCTGTACGTTCTGATTAGATCTCTTTCTAAGTTTTCTCTTCTTCTGTATGGTGTTCAAGACTCTATCGTTGTAGCCGTTGTTAATGAGAAGTTGATCTATTATCTTTTCAGAGTATGATTTAGGATTACATTTATAATGCATGCTGATTTGGCGAGTTGAAAGATGACGTCTACCAATGTGTGCACTATTAGTTCATAGCAATAGCCCATAAAACAAAAACACATTTCCTGTCTCAATAAATATTTCCTGTCTTAAGGTGGTACGGAACCCCACAAATAACACGTGGTGGTCGCTGGACAACCGGCGACTCTTCGTCTTCAGGACCTTGTTCGAGGAGGACTGTCTTGAGTCTGTTCCCTGTGACGATGTCACTGATAAAGTGGTAAGATCAGAGCTTTCAAGATGATATTTTTCAATTTTCAATTGTAACTTGGCACAAAATTGTAGAAACAATAATGGAGCTGCTGTTAGCTGGTATTACTATTAGTTTTACGGTTCCTTAATAAACAAATCTCAATCAGCAAACAGATTCAAGATAATTCTCCTCACATCTCCAGAACTCCTCAGGTATTCCAAAAGCGTTGGGAAAATCTGAAGAGTGGAGGAAACACTGTTCGTGTCAGACCTTTACATGTCAGCAGTGAATGTGAGGTAGATTATTTCACTGATTTTTCTTCTAGAACAACAGATGTCATGAGCGAACTGAGGAAGATTAACTCTACAGCTCTATCTGATCTGACGAATATTCTTGATACTCGTAGGCAACTCGATCATGTTGACACTTACCATGAAGACATTTCTGGTTCTCCGAATGGTGGTTGTTCGTTTAGTCTTAATGAGAAGGTGGCCCGCCCTGTCTCCCGCTATGGAGGAGACCAGGATATCAGAGTCCGTCTTGATAATACATCTACTGCTCTAAGAAAGACAAAGCAAATGGACGACTTAAGCATTTCCATTAAAGCCAAGCCCTCTTCTAAACCTGTTTCATTTTCTCGAAAGCTGTCTGATTATAGGAGCTATTCTCACAGTCTATCACAGAGCCATTCTCACTGTCTATCACGGCGCCATTCTCACAGTCTATCGCAGAGCCATTCTCACAGTCTATCACGGAAGACTGCAGGAACAAGAAGCAAGATAGGGCTTAGTATCACCTTGTTAAGGTGAGACAGTGGATAACACAATATATGATTGTTTTTAATGTTTTTAAATTTTATATTTTTTATATTTTTATAGAATATGTTTCGTAATCTGGCTATTATTGTATTTAAATGAATTCTCTCATAATGAACATTTGACTATCAGCATCATTTGTGATTTTAATCCTAATGGTAATATTTGAAATGTGATGTTATTTGATGGATTAATTAATTCATTAACAATTGACTGTGACTCTGATAACTTATAAAGCTTTTTCATTTGTTTATGTAACTGATATTAATCCGAGTCCCGAGATCACCTTCGGGATATTTTATTCTTGGAGTAGTGATGTCCTATTTTAATGAGATTTTAATGAGATTTTAATGAGATTTTAATGAGATTTTAATGATATATTATTATTGTTATATTATGTTGTGTTGTTTTGGCGAGATTACCCTTTCACACCCTTCAGAGGATCTAACAGTCTACAACATGTCTATTGTCTATATTAGTCGGCTCAATTCTTTTCTTCCAATTTGACGAATTTAATAAGCTATAAAGGTATAAATTTGTTTGTTGCCTTAATGCAATGTTATTTTGATAACATTTCATAGTTCCACAATTTGGTAAGATTACAATAAATTTAAGGATGGGTAAGAGGAGACGACCGAACACCTCGCTAATGCTGGACCCCTTAAAGATAGCATACAGTCAGGACTCTATTTCATTTAAGTCAGTATAATTTATTTCTTTTACTTAACAATAATCTTTTATCTTTAATGAGGGGGGATTTCCGCTCACTACAAAACTTTTAAGTTTTGGATAGAACAAAAATTTGGGCATGGCTAACATTTTGCATTTACTTTTACTTTTTCCCCTTTAACTACGATCTCCAAGTTAGAAAGGACGTTTTTCCGCAGGTTTGTGAATGGTACGCTTCTATCTACAGCCATCGCTAAACTAGTGAGAGGAACTCTCAAGCTCTCCCAGTTCCCTCCTATCAGAGTCTTCCATCTCAGAAACACGTGGTAATTATTTAATATTTAATTACTTTCAGTACTCAATGATATTACCATTACAACAAATTTTTAAACGGGAAACAGCGCACTCGGCAACAACAATAACTGTTGCTAACAGTTATACAATTCGAATTCATCTAAACAATCTCCTCGCAGGTTCTCACTAGATAATAGACGACTGTATGTGTTTAAAGAAGCAGCTAAAAAGGGTATTTTTACTCAGATCCCTGTCCTGGACACGCCCTCTACTGAGGTATTACTACAGTTACCATGGTTACAATACGTGTAGGGAAGGGGATGAAGTTTTCCACATTTTATGACACCTAACCAGATATCAGTGATCAATCAACTCGAAAAACTGATCGACTTATTTTGGAGATAGTCCAGTTATTCTATTGAATGGGGGCACGTGCTCCCCCCTTTGGGGAAGTCAGGGAGCACTGCAAAACTTCCTTAAAGTGCTCTCCTGTGACGTCATCAGTATTCATTAACGTATTCAACCCTTGTAATCACATATTTTTAATACCTAGCCCCTTTTCGGAATATAATTTCTGATATTTGACATGGAAAAGTGGGACATGGTTGTACGTTGAACTGAAAGTACTTACGTATTATCATTACGAAACAGCATAAATACAAATAACTACAAGATGAGTAATTGCCGATATGAAACACTGCGAAAAGGGTTACTTAATTACTTGATAAGGGTTGATCAGAATACGCTTAAAAAACAAAAACATGGTGTTCTCAACCGCTACATCAGTGCGCCAGACATCTAATCCTACTAATTCAGATTTTAATTTTACCCTAAATTTAAACCATCCGCAGTTCAGGAGATATCAGATAGACGCTAAGCTGACTACAATGAACGCGGGACGGCAAGTAACAGTACGAGGAGCAGCTGCCCGAACTGTAGCTATCACTAAATGTCACTACTGTCTGAAGGAATGCAAGACGGCTGGATATCTGTCTCTACATTGTCAGGTGACTTGTTGTGAGGGGGCCGGGGGCATCTGCATCCGGTACTGATATAAGTCAGATTGTTTGTGTTTCCAACTCAGTGATTTTACTCCCAAATAAGCAGGCGATAACTGAAAAATTTAAAATGCTCTTATTTGAAAGGTTCATTTGCATTTTTACGGTTGGAATAATCGGATTGTTCTGAATGTTATTATGGTGCGTGGAAGTATGGCTAGGGCAATCAACTGAATATTCTGTGACTCCCCTGCAAATGGAGCTCCACAATCTAATCAGTAGGCATTTATGTTGTACTCTCATCTATATATTCTATAATGGGTGTTTTCTTCATGCCAGGCACTATCTTCCCCGCTGATTGCTCGACAACCCTACCCCGACTGGCGGCTACAACAACCGCAGCTGTTGTCAGCATTGCTGAGGAGAACACTGCAGACGAAATGGTCTTCTTGTTCTGTCCCGTAAAAACGCCCGTGATACTGTTAACCACAAAGCGTCTAAACCGAGTGTTGGTCACGAGGTATATCACGGGGTTGGACACCACGTTCAGTCCCATTATCCCCAGAACCAGAGCCTCCCACCAAATGGGCTGAGTCTCCGGACTGACCCTGTCCCAGATTGAGTTAGCTATAGCCGGACTAAAGGACAGTATGAAGACCCATGTGATTGATGCTAGGGTTACCAGAGTAGGTCGTGGGGTTCCGGACCCTACTCTAGCACCACGGTTTTGCACTGTGGCTCCTATCGTGATGTTGATCACGGAGATCAGGATAAGAGGGAGACCCACCATGGTGATTATGTAGATGCTGGTCATGACTTTACTGAGGTGGGAGGTGGTGGGGTTGTCCTTGTTTTTGAAGTTGGAAGAGGCACAGGAGAGGGCAGCAGGACCAAAGTAGGCGTGGCAGCCTACCAGCATGCTATAGAGAGGGAACGTTAGGATGATCAGGACCTCCACAGATATAACCAAATGTACCACTCGTCTTATCTTCCGCTCGTTTTTGTGAGCTCGCTTTAGTATCCAGATCCGGTACACTGAAATTAAGAAATATTAGTTTGGATTATCCGCCTGTTAAATTCAATAATTTACACAATATAAAATTTGTTGTATTGCTGAATTTATTTCGCCAGCCACTATCAAATTTTATTCATTATTCATCGAAGACCGTACATTTGAAGCCAGTTTGAATTCATTGATGATTGTCAGTCGAGGTAGAAACATAACGATAGAAAATAAAAACTGTGATCATCATCAAATATCTAACTTAAAAAGAAATATTGTTATATCAATTACAATCATCATAAGTGTAGCAAAATCAAATTCAAATAGAATCCGCTAAATAATGAATATCTATCAAGTCACTGATCGAATTGAAATTAAATTCATTCGGATTCCCTTGTCACTTTGAAGAGTTAATCAATCTTATTTTTCCATCAAGTGTCATTTAATCACTGTCTTCTTATTTCTGAAATGAATTAATGTTGTGTCCATGCATCATAGATATTGTTCTCCGCTTTCAAAGCTTTGGTCCCATTACATCTAATTAGCGAACTTTACCACGAATATTTGCACTCTCATTTTTTACTGCATACGCCGCTCCGAGATTACGTCTTTGTCTTTTAGTCAGCCACTTCTTGGTGATAAAGAACACTCCGAGTGCAACTACCAAACCCACTGCAAATCCTGAACCCAACCCTACTCCCAAGTATTTGTTCCGAATCTGTTTGTCATTTTCACCTTTGCAATCGTCATCACACTTGCCATCATCTTTGCCGTCATCTTCACAATCTTCACATTCTTGACGACAAACAGGTTGCGTGTTGAAATCGAAGGTATCCTCTCCCAAACAAAGAATCTCAGTGTCTCCGCCAGTCAGATTGTATCCACTGCTACATTTCACAGAGACAGAAGTGTTGTACTGGACAGGTAGAGAGGGCTCCACCACCTCTACTCCTACCCAGGATCCTGGTAGTGCTGTGCAGCTAGGGGGTGCTAGATATTCCACTGCTGCGTTATCATTCAGCTCATTGAACTGAAAGTGGACAAAGTTCATGTTCATGTGAGCTGTGCAGGCTTTGCATTTAGGATTGCTGTATTCGGTTTCATCTTTGTAAATGTAACTGTAGACAAGTACATCGTTGCATGTTATGTTAAGCCTGTATGGCGTAACTTCCAGTTTCCATGTCTTGTCTGTCTCCGGCGGAATCTTGGAAAACTTTGTTGGAGCGTAGTTTGGCTTGGGATCGTCCAGGTCACATCTGTTGCATTCGTCTATCCAAAACTGGTAGTCATCATGGTCCCAGTGTATATCCACTCTAGTCTCAATCTCAAGATCCGCTGTGAGCAGTCTGATGTGAGTTTGCTGTTTCTTTGCAGTGGCGTTCTGTGTCTTGAACTCAAGAGGGTAAAGGTTGATCTGCTGTTTAGAAGAATCTCAGGAAGGTCTTGCAATTGTCCGGAAGAATCTTTGTATCGAGTTGTTGCTGTGTCACCCGGCATGAATTTTAAAGCGGTCACCAGCCTTTTCAACGTAGCTTCATCACCAGCAGTAAAATTGAAACTTGTGGTGATACTATCACAGCTAATTTGTAATTGCTCTGTCGTTTTCGTAATCTTCCATTCATGAACCGGCCCCGTCAAATCAAAGCCTTCGATAACTTCTGTCATACCAGGAGCTACAAGAACAACGTAAGTTGAAGACTCTGTGATATGTTGAAGCTGTATCGAATAATCCCCAAATTCATGATAGACCTCAATATCCACCACACTTCCCAGTCGACTATCTGTCGTTATCTCCAGAGGCTTGCTCTCCAAGTCATAAGAAAACGAAGGTCTCCGAGGCACGGGTAACCACTGTCTGTCCTCCGCTACCAAGGGTTTCAAGAAGAGGAGGAGTGTAAAGAAGTGTAACACGATCATGTGGCAACTAAGATTGAACAGAATTGAAGCAACAAACAGGGAGACTGTAACTCAAACTGATTACACGGAATATCAAACTAGAGTAATACGAGGGCTGTTTCTAAATGAAAGATAAAATTTCAGTCGGGACCCAATATATCATGCTCCTGATAGCGTTTAAATTTCGGTGTGTAGAATCCCAACGCCTCACGCGCAGTGAATTAGGTCACGATTAAGTAACTTGGAACAATCTGGTATCAGATAATTGTGACGTCTTAACGCTTGTCAAAACTAACGAGAAACGCTTTCGTAAATTCCGACACAACGCGGTCAGTATTGTCATGACCACTGCCTTTAAGCAGTGTATCAAATTTCCATATCAGCTTATAATTATCCTAACTAAGCTCACGAGCCTCGTGTTATGATCACATGACATGACAAATCAAAGTATCTCATATTACCTCAGTAAGACCACGAATGAGGATTGAGGCTATGCTAGAGAACTTGCCAACCCCAAGCCATCCCCATACCAAGCCCCCTTGACCCGACTACATAGCCTCAATAATTATAATTGATATGTAGCGTTTTAATTTTTGTAAAACTCTTTAAAAAGTACTATGTGGACCAACATAACCTCTAATGGCCACAAGTCACAAGATTAGTTATCAAATATGCAACATACCTGATAAGTCAAGAATGATGAAGATCTCAGTGATGAGAGGAACGTTGAAGAGGAATCCTACCACCCAGCAACCTGACTCTCCCAACACCCACCTGAAATACATATTAATTAAAGAGGAATCCTACCACCCAGCAACCTGACTCTCCCAACACCCACCTGAAATACATATTAATTAAAGAGGAATCCTACCATCCAGCAACCTGACTCTCCCAACACCCACCTGAAATACATATTAATTAAAGAGGAACCCTACCACCCAGCAACCTGACTCTCCCAACACCCACCTGAAATACATATTAATTAAAGAGGAATCCTACCACCCAGCAACCTGACTCTCCCAACACCCACCTGAAATACATATTAATTAAAGAGGAATCCTACCATCCAGCAACCTGACTCTCCCAACACCCACCTGAAATACAGATTAATTAAAGAGGAATCCTACCACCCAGCAACCTGACTCTCCCAACACCCACCTGAAATACATATTAATTAAAGAGGAACCCTACCACCCAGCAACCTGACTCTCCCAACACCCACCTGAAATACATATTAATTAAAGAGGAACCCTACCACCCAGCAACCTGACTCTCCCAACACCCACCTGAAATACATATTAATTAAAGAGGAATCCTACCATCCAGCAACCTGACTCTCCCAACATGAACACCCACCTGAAATACATATTAATTAAAGAGGAATCCTACCACCCAGCAACCTGACTCTCCCAACACCCACCTGAAATACATATTAATTAAAGAGGAATCCTACCATCCAGCAACCTGACTCTCCCAACACCCACCTGAAATACAGATTAATTAAAGAGGAATCCTACCACCCAGCAACCTGACTCTCCCAACACCCACCTGAAATACATATTAATTAAAGAGGAACCCTACCACCCAGCAACCTGACTCTCCCAACACCCACCTGAAATACATATTAATTAAAGAGGAACCCTACCACCCAGCAACCTGACTCTCCCAACACCCACCTGAAATACATATTAATTAAAGAGGAACCCTACCACCCAGCAACCTGACTCTCCCAACACCCACCTGAAATACATATTAATTAAAGAGGAACCCTACCACCCAGCAACCTGACTCTCCCAACACCCACCTGAAATACATATTAATTAAAGAGGAATCCTACCATCCAGCAACCTGACTCTCCCAACATGAACACCCACCTGAAATACATATTAATTAAAGAGGAATCCTACCACCCAGCAACCTGACTCTCCCAACACCCACCTGAAATACATATTAATTAAAGAGGAATCCTACCACCCAGCAACCTGACTCTCCCAACACCCACCTGAAATACATATTAATTAAAGAGGAATCCTACCATCCAGCAACCTGACTCTCCCAACACCCACCTGAAATACATATTAATTAAAGAGGAATCCTACCATCCAGCAAC